TCAACTTTCAAAGCTTCGTGCCTCTGATCAGAGAGAGGAACCTGATATACGCTCTTTCCTCGAGGATTCGGAAAATATGCAGCGAGGAAGTGGTTGAAGAAGAACTGTGTAATCTTCGAAAAAACCTGATGGAAAACGGTTTCCCGCCCAGGTTCATAGACAGGAATCTCAAACCTATGAAGATTTCCGAACAAGTCCAATCCGTTCCGAAGAAAGTACTTCTGCTTGATCTAGAACTCAAAGGTGACATCGAAGCAGAAATCCTTCGCAAACGCCTCTCAAAATTGCTGAGCAAAAAAATACTTCGCCGCGAGCCTACGACTGATGTTTTTCTGCAAGAAACTGTTCAGCCAGAACGCGAAAGACAAGCTGTTGCATTGGGCCACCTCAACGTGCATATACCAGTCTACTTACTCTTGTAGAGCTGAGCACGTTGGCCATACCATGCGCCGACTTGAAAAACGCGCTCGTGAACACTACCCAGTCTGGTTAGTAAAAGGAGACCAAAAGCGTGTATATAGCTGAGTGACAGAACATCTGGTCAATTCGGGGCATTCAGCACCTTTCACAAAATCCTTCAAAGTAATATACAAGATTCAATCAAACCTATCAAAGGGAGTGAAATCAAGACATCTGGGCATAGCCGAAGCGCTAGCTATACAAAAGCTCAAACCCACTCTTTGTATCCAAAAGAAATATGTCCAACCTCTGTCCCTACCATGGCCATCATAAACAGGTAATTTTTTAGTAATGACCATCCCATCGCCTTTCTTACCTAAACTTCCTGTTTAATCTTGTTATTTTTAGTTTTTCTTAATCCCTATTTACACTACCATATTTTCATACCCGAACTTCGTGTTTATTTTGTCATTTTACTATTTCTACACATTTAATCCCTGATTGCATAAACAATTATTTATCACACTAGTTTTTTTAAGAAAAGATATTTCTGGCGCTTTTCGACCACTGCGCTACATTTCCCTACTTTCATAAAAATTCTTGTTTCTGTAGAATTTCATGCCAAGAGTTTGTGGAAATTATTACAATTATTTACCTTTCGAACACTGAATCTGTGGATATAATCTTATTGACAGATAATACCTATAACTAACTGTTTGGATTTTGTGAAATTTTTAACATAAACTCATATCTATAATTGCATATCGTTGGATTTGTATGTTCAAGTTGTCCCAAAACAGTGAATCAATTGTTTTGGTATCATTTTAGTTAACTGTGCTGAACTATATTGCATGTTGTTGTATTGTATTGTTGTTGTCGCTTTTTGCCCTTTTTGCTGTGAATGGTTTACCTTTTGCTGGTGTTGTTCTGATTGTTTTATCCGTTGTTATCCGATTTTAAGGGGAGCAACCCAAAAGGCCGCTTCTCTCTAAAGTTTATCTTAATGTAACCATTCCTTCTCAGGTGTGAGGCTAGCAACCCCACCCTGTAAACAAAGTTGCTACAGAAACTTCAGCAAAATGAACCTCTTTGCACCAAAAGAAAAAGTCTGTGTGGGGACATGGAACGTCCACACCACGTATGAGATTGGCAAAGTTGCCCAGATTGCAAACGAGATGAAAAGATACGAAATGTAAGTACTGCGGATACATGAAAACAGGTGCAATAGGAATGGACTCACCAAATTGTCAACGGGTGAGTCAGTGATCTACTCCAGCCACCCAGAAGATAACCACATGCACACCGAGGGTGTGGCTATCATGATGTCACCAACGGCAACAAAGTCCCTGATGCAATGGGAGGCGATCTCGTCCAGGATAATGACCGCCAGATTCAACTCCAAATGAAGGAAAGTGTCAGTCATACAATGTTATGCACCAACAAACAACGCAGACCTCGAAAAGAAAGAAGAATTCTACAGGCAACTACAGGCAACAATGGACAATACTCCAGCTGGCGACATTAAAATACTAATGGAAGACATGAACGCCAAACTGGGACCAGACAACACAGGAAGGACTCTCGCCGACCATGCACATGGCCCAGGATTCGAGCCCTCGCCGACGCACACCTGATACCTATGGTCGGCCTGCAAACTTTGAGCTACCGATATCCACGCTGAAAATTCCATACTTGTACCAAAAATACAGTGTGGAATCAAGCTGTAATCAAAATTAAAAATAAAATAAAATATATCATGGGCAGAGAAGCTCTTGAAAAAATGAATGAAAATGGAGAAATGTTCGCCGAATTCTGCGCCTTCAACGAACTAGTGATTGATGGTAGCGTATACAAACACAAAGATATCCACAAGGCTACATGGGTGTCACCAGACGGGCAAACCAAAAACCAAATTGACTTCATCTCAACGGTGCTCAAGGATGTGGAGGCGCAGCCTACTGGACACAAAAGTAAGAAGAGGAGCAGACGTTGGCTCAGACCACTATCTCGTACAAGGGACAATCCAAATCAAATTAAAAGCTTTCAGGGAAACAGGGGCTGCAGATAGACCACAAGCCAAGTTCAACACTCAAAAGCTGAAGGACCAGGCTACAAAGGACATCTTCATTGCAAACATAAGGGAAAAAGCCGAGACACAAATCAACACCAGCGAAAAGGTCATCGTCGAAAAGCACTGGAACAACTTGAAAACGGTGTGGAGTAAAACCTGCATGGAAGTTCTAGGCAGAAAGAAAAGACAGGACAAACAGTGGCTCACTAAAGACACGTGGAGACTAGTAGAAGTAAGAAGGATCATGAAACAAAAGATTATACAGTGCACCAACGAGTAGGAAAAACAGGAGTTCAATGCAAGCTACAACACGCTGAAGAAAAGAGTGAGGAAGAGTGCCAGGGAAGACAAAAGAAAATATTATGAAACCATGGCAAACGAAGCAGAACAAGCTGCAGGCAAAGGAGACCTCGCCACACTCTACCAAACAACTAGGCACCTATCGGGCAAAAGTTCGACACAGATTAAGCTAATAAAGGTCGACAATGGAAAGTCAATCACCAAAGAGGTGGAACAGAGAAAGCACTGGGCTGAACACTTCAAAAGACTTCTAAATCGTCCGCCACCTACAGCACGCCCAACAACACCAACAACGGAAGCAGAACTACCAGTGAACATTGACCCCCGACGAAATCAGAAGTCCTGAATGCAATCAAGATGCTAAAGGCTGGGAAAGCACCAGGACCAGATGGAATCCCAGCAGAAGCTTTGAAAATAGACCCAGAGACAACAGCGGACTTGATAACGCCACTGCTGGAGAAGGTGTGGAAAGAGGGCAAAGTACCCGAGGAATGGAAGAAAGGATACTTATTCAAACTACCAGACTTGGAGCGGGGTGAAAAAGTTGGCAGAAAACAGAAGGAGATGGAGGTGCGCAGCTGAAGCCCTATGTTCCTCTGGGATTTAAAGGATATAATAATAATAACATTTTTATCAGAACATCCCATTTATTTTTGTTATTTCTACATTTCTAACCTCTAATTGCACAATGTCAATCTTCTTAGTTATTATGATGCTACTTTGTTTGAGTTTTATCCATTCTCCTGTTTATTATGTCATTTTAATTCCTAATTGTAAATTTTATTAATTTGAGCCTTGACCAGAAGTAATTCCCATCCATTTGTGATTATAAATACACGAATGTACAGCCAGGTTAACGAAGACTTCGTCGAAAAGAAAATCTTCAATGCAATTGTCTTCTTAATAACTCCTATGACCCAATGTGTATATTATTAATAAGAAAGAGTAAGTCAGTGTTTAGGCATCAATTATCATCAAGTCGAAAAGGTATTCATAAAAGTGATCAACAAAATTATTAGGAATCCCCTCAAAACAGGTTTATATATACAGCAGTATATATCGGCTGCATGATGTATCTATCAATCAATCACAGTAACAACTGACCGAAAATATGTTACTGTTTTTTACAATACCACTTTTTATGAGGTTCTCGTGAAGACGTACGTACAACAGATAACGGAGTAGGTAAGTAAGATCTAAGGGAATACAATATAGCTAATAAACATTCTCTACAAACAAATCTTGAATACCTCTAGCTTTGTAAAGATTAGAAACACCATAGATATATATATATATATATATATATTCAATGAATTTGTTCCGCTCTTAAATCTGTATCTTTTTGTCTGTCTGTTTTCGACATAGAACTTTGCACAAATGTGCGGAAGTTCAAGTCGCCACATTCCGTGTAGCACGCGAAGCAAGAGAAGAAAGTACAAGAGAAGCATAATAGAGACAGTGAGCAGAGGTGTGAGACAAAGGAGGAGTAATAACGAAGAACAAAACACACAGTTTCAATGGAAATCGTAAGTCACAAGGAGTGGATGCATCTGAGCCAGCCGGCCATTGAGAACGATTTTGAGCCATGTCACCAATTGTTTCCAACCATAGATTTTTACCGTCCCGAGGACGCCAGCCTGGAAGTCTACACCTTCCTACGTGGCTTAGACCAACTGTTGTAGATTTCATTGACTGGTGAAGCCATGTTTTGGTTTGACCTCCACTAGCTCTTTTCCAGCCTGACCCTGTATCCGCTAACATTGACCGTCGGTCGAGGAAGGCGATGGCTTGGCATACGTAACACATGTCCTAACCACCTCAGTCTTTGTAACTTCACGACTTCGTCGATTGATTTCCCCTGTTTACCTAGAACTCTACGCCTAACTTCAATGTTGCTCACCATATTATGCCACTTTACACGGGAAATAGAGCGCAGGCACCTATGATCAAAGGCAGCTAGTCTTTTCATGCCTTTCCATGTCTTCCACACTCAATGGCCAGGTCTCACAGCCAGTCATAAAGGAGGACGGAGCGGACTACTGAGCAGTATACCCACCCTTTGGTTGATAGCCGGATATCACGTCTTCGCCAGAGACGGTGTAGGAAAATGCTGAGAATTCCATTCTCTTTATCGCAAGTACTGTTTTGGAATAAAGCTATTATTATTGTTGTTTTTCCACTGGGAACGTGTTACAGGAATAGAAAACACAAAAAATGCATATACACATACCATTGCAATGATTCATTTTCTCTCGGATACTTCCATAATGTTGAAGTGTTTTCAAACTATCCCCCATATGCCTTGTACCGAGACGAGTCATAGCTCGACTACCACCACGACGTCCTACAGAAGGATTAGATTTCGTTGCGTAGGCATAGGACGACAACATATCATCATCCATGTGAGATTCATTTGTCTAGGAGAAGGAAAATAATACAGAAAAGTAAATCTAAATTATGTGTGAATATTGGTATGTGTAACAAGCTATACAATATAAATTGAAACTTTTTTATCAACAAACTATATGCATATAATGGAATCCAGGATACACATTTCTCGTCAGTTCAATATGCCTGCATCCCTTAAGTGGGGGTGATAATGTGTACTACCCATTCAGGCTCAACAAACCAAACGTTTACAAATGTTATCGGCTACACTACACCGCAATGCATCCTTTATTATTATTATTTTTAACCCCCTCTCAGCTAGATGATGATGTACCTGACGAGTAGTTCTAAAGGGGACGAAATACGTGTTCCCAGGTAATCCATTTCTAGCCATCTCAATCTATCTCACATTACTCTTCGAGTATATTTATCAGTCATCATCGCCAAAGCGCCCGTACTAGAAAGGCGGCGATAGATGTGACGTGTGAACAAAGGTTAAGATATTTTGGCCTAATCAATCAATCAATCAACAGGAGAAATTAAAAAAATTCAATTAAAAACAGATAAGACAAGGCTCGATTGATAACGTCATATAGAGTTCACACACTCATACGAATACTACACTTTTCGAGGAATTCGGCAGTCATAGACGACGCTAATGCACTAAAAATCAGTCAACTAGTTAGATAGATAGATAAATAACAACGGAACAATTGTCACACACCACTGAGATATTTTAATACATACAAAGTGTGAGGACAAAAAACATTCTAAGTCAATGTTTTCAAATGTTATCAGTTAAAACCAGATCTTAATTGGCGGGTAGTGACTAGCAGTGGAATCCAGCATAACGCGCATTTCGTCCTATTTGGGACTCGCGTAAGCTGAATGTACCTGCATTTCTCAGTGAGTGATGATGACGTTCCCACCGAGGCTCGAACCCAGTACCCATAGTTTCAAACGCCAAAGCGTTATCCACCACTAGATCGACGCGAAAAATCAAAAATTCAATTAAACCAGATTTTAACCAAGTATAATAATAGTCATCTCATATTGTTGGGATTTGTATCAAGCATATCTCATATCCAGTCGGAACATACACAGCTCTCGAACCTTAAAAAATTAAACTTACTGGTCAAATTGAAATGACCACGTATAAATCTGTAGTCATATATTTGCTTTATTTCCATGAAGTAGTAGTGTACATCTTTGTGTCATTCAAAAATAATAATCATAATAATAAGATAGGAAAATGTATTCCTTTGATGTTAATTCTTTGTTTACTAATGTACCATTGATTAGGACTGTTGATATTCTTTGTGACCAGATATCTTCTAGTTGTTTTTCATTCTCTTTACCTTTAACTTATTTGAAAGATTTATTATTATTATGTACTGACAACGTCCATTTCACGTTTGAAGGCTAACATTTTCGACTAGTGGATGGCGTTGCTATCGGAAGTCCATTAGGACATTTGTTAGCGGACGTTTACATGTCTATGTTGAGAACTTGTCCTTTGATTTAATTCCTGAATTGCCCTTCTATAGGAGATATGTAGATGATATCATTTTGATATGCGACGATCATGAAGATGCGAGTCGTCTATTAGACAGACTTAACTCGGTACAGAATCATATTAGTCTTACATGCGAGGAAGAAAGTCGTAACCAGCTAGCACTTTTAGACATACTTCTGAGTAGAAGAGATGATGGCTCAATAAGACGGTCTATCTACAGAAAGCCCACTTCGACAAGGCAGTACCTTAATTTTCACATTTTCTGTCCATTACAGAATAAGAGAGGCTTGTTGAAGTGTCCACTCAAGACGATTCAACGTATTTGTACGGCTGATGTTATAGACAAGGAAAACGAAATATTGATGCATACTCTTGGTGAAAATGGATATCCTTTGACATTTTCAAACAGGTGTAGAAGTCAACTAGTCTCTAAACCTACAATCCATACAGCCCCTAAGAAAAATGTTTTCATCAAATTACCATATAACGGGGAAATAAACAGTAGGATTGTGAGACAAAGGTTGAATTCGATCATACGTAGAACCTATTATGCAGCCCAACTTGTAATTTTCGAAGAAGCTGAAAATATGCTCCACTGCAAACCTCAAAAGTGCACAAGTGATTATGTCACATCCCACACTATTTACCAATTCTCATGTATGTGTGTGTGTGGACACCCATACATAGGGAGGAGTAATCGTGCTTTGCATGTGAGGATGGAACAGCGGGCATATCCCGAGATGGTTAGAAAAACAAATGAATTGTAGAGAAACCAACAGATGCAGGTGTCAAACTACCAACTTCGTCTATAGCTAAACACCTAATCGAGATGAACCATAAGATTGATATTAACCCAACCTTTAAGGTCATCTACAAAAATGGTCAAGGATGCTTATTGAAATACGCCAAGGCTATAGCTATTCATATACTTAGGCTCCCCTTATGTATTCAGAAACAGTTTGTTATTACTCTTAACCTATCTTGGTTATCCTTATTTGATTGGATTACCAAACGTTTGTGTTAGTTATTCTTAATTCCTTTTTCTCTCACTTTGTTTAATTTAACCTTTCTATATATATTCACTTGACAAGTAAATGTGTAAGAGATTAGATTGTTCGAAATGTATAGCGCTAATACATCACATTTTTCAGATAGTCTCTGTCTTCTAATAACGCTATCAAAATTTATAAAAGGGACTAATTATTTTAAATAATAATAACAATAATAATAAAGACAACAACTCACCCGTAGTCGACCAGCAAATGATCGACCAAGATGATGACGTTTAGCAAATCTTCTCCCGCCTAAACGATTATTGACCACCACTGGAAAGTTTTGAGATGAACGACTGCCTTTTTGATTAACAATTTTCCGATTGATGAATTTAGTCATTTTCACAGATCGAAGATCCGAAGATCGATGTTTACCACCTCTTCGACTAACTGCGCCACTATCATCACTGGCTGCATTTCTATTTCCTCCACCTAGACGACGACAACGTCGTCCACTACCACTCGTAGACGACCACCATTGTACATTCTCCTCACAGTCATTATCACCACCATCGTTTATACTTCCATTGATTCCGTCATCATCATTTTCATCCAATTGACGACCATATTCACCAACATCACCACCATTTTCATGACAGTAATCTTCAGAGATATTGTCCAAATCATTATAAGTTCTACAATAGTCTGATTTCCTTGAAGAAATGATATGCATCATGTTTTGACGACTATCATCATTGTGCAAGTCTTTACGATCAGATAAGATGAAATCATCAGAATTTAATTTATTACGCTTATTCAATGTATATAATAATCCATCGAATGATTGCATGATTTCGTCACCACCGTCACCACCAACATCCCCATTTAAAAAGCCTGAACTATCGCGACTTCGATGAGCACAAACTTCATCATCTTCATGCAGTACTACTGTTGATGATGTGTCATGATATTCAGATTCACCATAATTATTATTATTATAAACATTTTTTCGTTGTGATGCATTTGTTGTTGCCCCACTGAATGACCGACTAACAATGCCAATAGATAAGTTCAAATTATTATTAGTATTATTATTATTATTAATTCCTATTGCATGACTGACAGATGATGATACAACACGGGAATTATGCCCCCCGTCTGTGTAGTCTCTGTAGTTAGCTAAACTTACTGGGATCGATAATCCAGCAATAGAATATGCTCGCCTAGTGACTACAGGAACTACAAAAAAAGAAATATACATATGTATATATATAAAGACTATTGAATCAGGGAGTAAACGTTGTTACATAAAAATAGAAGTTAAGATAGTTAATTGTAGTTTGTTTATTTTATATGAATTAAGTAAGACGATAAGACAACAGATATCGCGACCAACTACCTATAACACACTCCATTATGGATAAGATTTTATTTTGATAAACCACACAGTGTTGTACAGTTGTATGAACTGATGACGTTTCGAGCACAAACTATTGCTGATATCATATGCCATAGTTCCTTGTTGGTGATTCTTTCCAGCCCGGCCCGGCCATCTGATCTTCAGTATCGATCCAGCGAAGACAGTTGTTGTTAATAAAGGTCTTCAACAGGCTGTTGGAAATATTCTTTGTGACCCACCCGCCAAGTTTCTGATCCGTTCCGTATAGAAGAACCGACTGACTTTACGTTTGTATTGAAAATCCGACTGAATTTTGTTGTTGACGCTGGCTGAGTGACGAAGATTTCCAGATTGATTTCAGGTTGATGGATGTGTTTCTCGCCCCCCTCCCCGATTCTCGCTCGATTTGACATCCTCGTCCGTTCCGGCTTACTGTAGTTCAGACAATGCTTCCTCCCTCTAGATAAGTGAATGAAGTAACCTCTTTCAAACCCCTCCCGTTGATGGTGATTGACGGTGTATGTTGCTGCTGCTGTTGTTGTTGTTGGTCGACTATTTTCATAACCTCCGTCTTGTGTATGTTCACCTGAAGTCCTGTCTTCTCCGGCTGCTTCTTCGACCAGTTTGTCGGTTTTCGCTTTTAAGTCTTCGATTTTGTGTGACATCATCAAACATAAATCATCCACAAGCGAAATCCTGGTCTTCTAGGTTCTTCGCGTCGGTCAAGGATATTCCTGTCTTCTCGTTTCCCACTGCCTGACGCATAATCCAGTCAGTCCACCACAATCAGGAATATCATTCATTGGTGATGATAAGCACCCTTGTCTGACTCCTGTGTTTATTCCAAACGCCTCGCTGAATTTTCCGTTGTGGATCACTTGACATGTGCCGTTGTTGTCGCAGAGCTGTTGAATAAGGTTGATGAATATTTGGGCGCTGCACGCCGTACTACTCGAGTAATTTCCAAATTACTTCACGATCAACGCTATCGAAGGCCTTCTCAAAGTCTATAAAGTTGAGGTAGAGATTTGATCACTTCATTAAAAACACAAGTAGCGCTTTAGTTACAACAGACATACTCGAAGGTTGAACACGTGGATGTGTGTGACAGGCGAGGATGATTTTCAATGCAACATAAACAACATAAAAAGTCAAATCGATAAAGTAGAAATAGTTTGCTTATACAAGTAAAAGAAAGAATACCAATGTCTTAAACTTGATTCAATTCAAAAAGATAATTATTATCGATTCGTACACTGAAAAAACTGATTGCCTTACAGTGTAACTGCTACTTCTCTTTCGAATATATAAAGACGAACATTCAGTATAGATAGATAGTTTATGAAGGATTATTATTATTATTCATTCTTTAAGTTCCAAGTAAAACTACAATGGTCTCAACCTCTGTTGCTTGTTCCCGCAAACATCACCCTGGCTTATTCGAAGGGGTTGTGTCAAGTTACGTTGATTTTTGAGATGATTAGGAGATTGTTTTACTCATACACCTGTCTGCCTAGCCATCGTTTTCCTCGACTGTTGTCGTCAATGTTAGCGCTGACATAGGAGTTGATCTGGTTGTAAAAGAATTAGCTCTAGTGGTGATGGTGGTCAAAAAATGAAGACAGCTTCATCATCAGTCCATATGAAATCCATACCAGTTGGTTTTGAGCAGCCATGTCTGGAGGCGTAGACTAGCTTCTCCCGTCTGGTTGGGGTGGGGGTAGTCGGGGTGTGTGGTAAGACCCAATGATGGTCGGCGACAAATGATGGTGATGTGGCGCAGATGCATCCACTCCTTGTAATATCCAATAAAGCCCCATAATATCCTTGCACATTACTATTCTTTCCCCCTCATTTTTCTGTTTCTTTTATCTCTCTTTCGAATTCCTTTTTATACTTTCTTCTCTTGATTTGTTTGCTAAGTGCAGTGTGGCGACTCGAAATGCACGGAACATCTGTGCAGTGCAGTTCTACGTTGTAACCAGTCAGTCAGGTTTCGAACTGTGATTCAATAATAGCATCGTACATAAAACTTGGAATTTTAATTTTAAATGATTAGATATTATCACTTTTCTAAAAATACTGTCCATAACAAGTATTTCTTTAATCAATAATCCCGATTAATAACACTGCAGTCTGCCCGTCTGTCTGTTTTCGACATAGAACTTTGCACCGATATGTGCGCCAGTTCAAGTCGCCACACTCCCTCCATGTAGCACACAAAGCAACAGAAGAAAGCACAAGAAATGCATAATAGAGGGGTGAGGCAAAGGAAGAGTAATAACGAAGAACAAAACACACAGTTTCATTGGAAATCATAAGTCACAAGGAGTGGATGCATCTGAGCCAGCCGGTCATTGAGAACGATTTTGAGCCATGTCACCAATTGTTTCCAGCATGCATTGGTTTTTACCGTCCCAAAGACCCCAACCAGTCAGGAAGCCAGTCAACACCTTCCTACGTGACTAGCTGGCTTAGACTAACTGTGGTAGATTTCATTGACTGGTGAAGCCATGTTTTGGTTTGACCACCACTGGCTAGCTTTTTTCCAGCCTGACCACTATATCCGCTAACATTGCCCGTCGGTCGAGGAAGGCGATGACTAGGCATAATACATGAGTAACACATGTCCTAACCACCTCAGTCTTTGTAACTTCACAACTTCGTCGATTGATTTTCCCCTCCTACCTTATTTAGCACTCGACCAACGCCTAACCTCAATATTGCTCACCTTATTATACCACTTAGCACACACGGGAAATAGAGCGCAGGCACCTATGATCGAAGACAGCTAGCTAATCTTTTCATGTCTTCCACACTCAATGGCCAGGTCTCACAGCCAGTCATAAAGGAGGACGGAGCGGACTACTGAGCAGTATACCCACCCTTTGGTTGATACCCGGATATCACGTCTTCGCCAGAGACGGCGTAAACTGGCATATGCGAAACTAGCCCTCTGTATCCATACTGAGATTTCGTCAGAGATCAACCCGTTGGTGTTGGGGCTGATGGTACTTCCCAAGAAAGTGAAGCGGACAACGTGCTCTACCACTTCACTTCATCTTTCTAATCTAGAAGTCGGTGTAGTCCAGTCCTGTAACATCTGGCATTTGGCGGGAGCGAATCGCTCGCATGCCAAACATTCGTAGATTGCGGCTCAAAGTGTTTAGAAGACCGTATATGCATTTTGTCAACGTCTTCGCCTAGAAGCATTATTTTGTCTGCATATTCTAAGTCAACGAGATTATTCCCTGGTGGTAGCAAGTCAATCCCTGAGTCTCTGAAGTGAGTTAGGGTTAAGTCCATTAGTACATCTATGATGAAGTTGAATAGAAATAAGGATAATAATGGACATCCTTGACGGACACCACTAATCGTCACCACCTCATTTGTTGACAACTCGCCGCAAAACCCCTCACCTGGCTGACGGTATGAGTTCGAGTAGAGTAAGTGCCTTAATTAGTGCAATGTATTTTTTCTCGGCATTCCCTTTACAGTCAAGCATCCCCAGAGAACACCTATCGGTCGACACTGTAGAACCGGATGAAGAAGATATTCCAAAAAGAGAAACTACTCTACGTCAGATTGGATCACAAATCACTGTCTAAAATTTTATATATGTGGGTAGCAACTTTTTTTATCAGCTGATTACATATATATATATATATATCCATTCCAAGCAAAAAACTAAGCCGAATTATCCTGGAGAGAATCAAACAAGCCAACCTCGGTGAAAAACTTCGTCCGGAACAGGCCGGATTCAGGAGAAACAAGTCATGTATTGATCAAATCGCCACACTACGGATCATCATTGAACAAAGCTTGGAATGGCAGTCAGTCACCTCTCTACCTCACTCAACTTCATCGACTTTGAAAAGGCCTTCGACAGCTCAGCGCCGATCGAGTGGTCATTTGGAAACTTCTTCGCTACTAGCAAGGGGTCCCATCGACAACCATACATCTCATCCAACAGTTATACGACATTGCTGCATGCCAAGTAATCCACAACGGGAAACTTACTGAAGCCTTCGAAGTGAGAACGGGAGTGAGGCGAGGCTGTCTACTATCGCCAATGATCTTCCTGATTGCAATTGGTTGGATAATGCGACAGACAACGGCAACCAACGAGGGAACAGGCATAAAATGGACTGACACAAAAGACTTGGAGGATCTGGATTTCGCCGATGATGATATATGTCTGATTCCCCACAAACTAGAAGATATGCAAGTGAAAAGTAACAAGTTGGCAGAAGAAGCATCAAAGATAGGACTTCAAGTGAACATAGATAAAACAGAGGTGATGAAGATTCCTAGCCAACATCAACAGCAACAACAACAACAGACAACAATCAGCCAGCATAAATGGGAGGAACCTGAAAGAAACAGCCTCCTTCACCTACCGACATGGGAAGCATCGTCTCAACTACAGGCGGATGGAACTGACGAGGATATCAAAGCCAGAATCCGAAAAGCAAAAGAAGCTTTCATTATTCACATCAAATCTGTGTGGAGGTCAACAGCACTGCTCAGCATCAAAAATAAGATCCGGATTTTCAACTCCAATGTGAAGCCAGTCAGTGCTGCTCACTATACGGATTAGAGACTTGCACTGAGCGTCATAAAGAGCATCTCAAACAAACTTCAGACCTTCATTAACAGTTATCTTCGCTCAATACCACTCAAGATCAGATGGCCGGCCAGAAAAGATCAGCAACAGGGAGGGATCTCTGGCAATGAGCGAACCAACACCGCAGGAACCAATTGCGAAACAAATAGGCAGGAAGAAATGGAGATGGATTGGATTGGCCATACTCTGAGTAAACCATCAAGTAACTTCACTAGACAAACGATCGCTCGAGTGGAACCTGGCGGAAAGGGAGGCGGCGAGTTGGTCGTCACTGCAAGGGTGACTTGGAGGAGGTCATGCGAGGAGGAGGAGATGAAAGCATGTGGACAAACCTGGATCGGGGTGAAAAAGTTGTCAGAAAACCGAAGGCAATGGAGGTGCGCAGCTGAAGCTCTATGTTCCTCTAGGAATTAAAGGATACAATAATAATAATAATAATGATAATAATTTAAAGAGCAGATTAACTTACCTAAATCAGGTGGGACTCCCAAAGCTTTTAAGCCATTCTGTAATGTATACCACAAGCGTTGGTTAGCTGTTTTACGCTTTTTACTTGATGACGGATCGTCTAAATGCCATCGGTAACGTGGATATCTCAAAAAAACATGAGGATCTTTAGATGATGGTCCTCCTACACAACAGGAACCTGAACAGTTTAAAAAAAGGAAAGTAGTGAAATTCTAAATAGATCACTTCCTGATAGTTAACTAGGTTGGTTAGAACTAACTTACTCGGCAATTAGCCATTAAACACAACAAACACAATTATTGTATGAGGAGACTAGGGTAACACACATTAACCCATTATTTTTGATTAGACTGAAGTAGGGCAACGCAGGACTCAAACCTAAAAACTCGTTGACTGAAAGGTCACGTATGCGCCTAAAAGTCAATAGACCTAACCTTATTTATTTATTTAAACGCATACAATATGGCACCTAGAAGGATGCAACTCACAATAATAATAAAACAACATAGATCATAAGAAAAAAAAGAAAGAAGAGAAATATATATATATATATATATATATATATAAGTAGAGAACGGATAAAGAACTTCTTCTGGAAGGAAAACAGTTATGCTTAACAAGTTCGAACAGTATTCGTTAACTATCATCGCGGGAAGGGAAGAAAGAAGGAAATTGCAACACGTGTAATAGCACGCGATAAGTTTTTATTGATTGTTTGTTGTTTTATTCAATTCATTGTGTGAGGGCTGAGATATACTGCCCGGGCGCCCATACCGAAGCAGGTAGTTTTATTAAAGGACCATCCCTCCGGGGGGCCTTTGACTTGGAGTCTAATCCGCAAGACAGCGGAGCAGCGTCAGGAGCTACGTCCCCATGGTTGCCGGTGACCCATATGGGTTCATACGCCATTTGATCCGATTGGATACTGAAGCCCATGTACCCTATGGTAACTGCTTTTAGTTTGACCGCTATCCAAACAACTTTCCTGACATGGTAGGACCTGTTTTCGAAGTTATCCATCTTACAAAAAAGCAACACATTTGACAGTGAAGGCATGAATCTTTGTCGGCTGAACATCCAGTTGGTCAGTTGATTATTAATTGATTCAATTATCAAGTAGTAAAAGGTTTTGCATTTTCCAACTTACAATTATCGTGTGTAACGGCTGTCACAACATACTACCACCCGGTTAGTCAAACCAGACTGAAGTAGATAAGTCTGGAGCCAAAATAAATCGACTGGAAGTTGAGTGCATAAGACATTAAAGACAGTTGAGAAGAATGATAGAATACATTACTACCAATAGAGCTTAATTTCTTTAGCATCTCAATGCAATTTAGAGGAATTTGTTTCTCTTCACTAATTTATCTAACCTGAACACAACATGGATGCGCACTTCATGATCTTTACAATTCAAATGAACAAATGGTTTATAACAGAAAAAACGACAAGACTTATTTCAAAAAAATTTTTTTTATAAAAACAACTAATGAGACTGATTACTATTTTCATCTAGATATAAAATAACTTGTAACTGGCGCCGGGAGGCGGGGAATCATTTACCGCATTTGCAGGCTTAAGTACTGATGCGATGTCGCCACCAAGGTATTGTTGATCAGCAACTGGCGGCGGCAACGCGTCTAACTGTATGTTAGCAGTGAGAGCAGATAGATTGTCATGGCTTCTTTGGCTCAAAGTTCAATTCCTAGGCGTATGGAGGGAGAGATTCTCAGATATTCAATCAATGATTGTGTTACTGATGCACAAGTCCACTCGGTTTCCTGAAGGGATTTTTTTGCTCCTCTGTAGAACAATGAAGGTAAATGTTCCATGTGTATCAGACACCGAGTAGGGACGATAAATCGAGCTTCACAGGATCAGGTGAACTATAAAAGATGAGGATCAAACAAGGCCAGGAGCAGTAGCTTACCTCCCCCCTCCCATATGCACTGAAAACATTGATTTTATTGATAAGACCAGTCGAAGTTCATCCTTAGAGTTCAACCCCCTCAATGAATCGGAGGAAGCGTTTCTCAGTGTTTCTGTCTATAAGTTTCAACTGAATTGTAGATTCACATGAAAAATATCTCATTAAGGTAGAAAATTTTGTGTGTGTGTGTGTGTGTGGTTTTGGTGGTGGTGGTGCGAGCTTTACGGATTTTGTGGCGAAGCGTTCAGGATACCCGTCATCATCAATGACTCCCTTTGTCAGAACTCATTCATCTCGGCCACTTACTTCGCTGTCAAGGGTGTAAATATTGCGGATCTTGTGACTTGATAAACGGCGGCAAATTGAGATGTGTGTTATATACTCAATGAAATTGTCTTATCGGGGTAGGAATAATCTCAAAAAACAGTAAAACTATCGTACGATTCATCGTGTGTCGTCAGACGACAGTAAATTTACATCATCTATTTCTGACCTTAGTTTTGGTCACATCGCCAAACAATCAGAATAATAATACTTTGAGAAAGCCATTAGCATTAAAAAAAGCGAAACGACAGTAAAGAAACAATATCGTTTTGTTTTCCTTTGTTTTTCATTCATTGGCATATACAAAAAAGCGTTTATTATAATGAATCGTGCATTGGTGGCGCAACGGTAGAGTGCATGCCGGCCACGCATATGATCCGGGTTTCGATCCCCGGCCACCGACGAGGTACTCCATTACCTCGCTAAGCCAGAAATAAGAGCTGGTAAAGAGGAAAGATTGGGAATGAGGCTAGCAACCCCATCCTGTAAAATAATAAACACTGATACAGAAACTTCAAACCACTAGATTGAAGGTGCCTTATTTTCCACTGGGAACGTGAAGGAAAAATTAATTATTATAATGAACAACATATACTCAATGCCCAAATTTTTTCAAACCATTAGAAATAAATAAATTTTATTATTATTCTTTATTATTGTATCCTTTAGTTCCTAGAGGAACATAGAGCTTCAGCTGCGCACCTCCATTGCCTTCGGTTTTCTGACAACTTTTTCACCCCGATCCAGGTTTGTCCACATGCTTTCATCTCCTCCTCCTCGCATGACCTCCTCCAAGTCACCCTTGCAGTGACGACCAACTCGCCGCCTCCCTTTCCGCCAGGTTCCACTCGAGCGATCGTTTGTCTAGTGAAGTTACTTGATGGTTTACTCAGAGTATGGCCAATCCAATCCATCTCCATTTCTTCCTGCCTATTTGTTTCGCAATTGGTTCCTGCGGTGTTGGTTCGCTCATTGCCAGAGATCCCTCCCTGTTGCTGATCTTTTCTGGCCGGCCATCTGATCTTGAGTGGTATTGAGCGAAGATAACTGTTAATGAAGGTCTGAAGTTTGTTTGAGATGCTCTTTATGACGCTCAGTGCAAGTCTCTAATCCGTATAGTGAGCAGCACTGACTGGCTTCACATTGGAGTTGAAAATCCGGATCTTATTTTTGATGCTGAGCAGTGCTGTTGACCTCCACACAGATTTGATGTGAATAATGAAAGCTTCTTTTGCTTTTCGGATTCTGGCTTTGATATCCTCGTCAGTTCCATCCGCCTGTAGTTGAGACGATGCTTCCCATGTCGGTAGGTGAAGGAGGCTGTTTCTTTCAGGTTCCTCCCATTTATGCTGGCTGATTGTTGTCTGTTGTTGTTGTTGCTGTTGATGTTGGCTAGGAATCTTCATCACCTCTGTTTTATCTATGTTCACTTGAAGTCCTATCTTTGATGCTTCTTCTGCCAACTTGTTACTTTTCACTTGCATATCTTCTAGTTTGTGGGGAATCAGACATATATCATCATCGGCGAAATCCAGATCCTCCAAGTCTTTTGTGTCAGTCCATTTTATGCCTGTTCCCTCGTTGGTTGCCGTTGTCTGTCGCATTATCCAACCAATTGCAATCAGGAAGATCATTGGCGATAGTAGACAGCCTCGCCTCACTCCCGTTCTCACTTCGAAGGCTTCAGTAAGTTTCCCGTTGTGGATTACTTGGCATGCAGCAATGTCGTATAACTGTTGGATGAGATGTATGGTTGTCGATGGGACCCCTTGCTAGTAGCGAAGAAGTTTCCAAATGACCACTCGATCGGCGCTGAGCTGTCGAAGGCCTTTTCAAAGTCGATGAAGTTGAGTGAGGTAGAGAGGTGACTGACTGCCATTCCAAGCTTTGTTCAATGATGATCCGTAGTGTGGCGATTTGATCAATACATGACTTGTTTCTCCTGAATCCGGCCTGTTCCGGACGAAGTTTTTCACCGAGGTTGGCTTGTTTGATTCTCTCCAGGATAATTCGGCTTAGTTTTTTGCTTGGGATGGACAGGAGCATAATTCCGCGTCAGTTTTTGCATTGACTTAAGTCTCCTCTCTTCTAATCCTCAGGTACTTTGCCCTTTATCTACACCTTTTCTAGCAATGGCAACATCAAGTCCACTGTTATCTTTGGATTCGAAAAGAAATAAAAAATATGACGTGCTTTTTCATAATAAAATTGATATCTTAAGAGTCAAAAAGCAGTCCTTGTGTTTTTCTGCCTGCTGAGACACAGGCAGGTTGGTAGGCTAACACACAAATGGTTGCAGTATTACTACTTTTCTAATAGGAAGCACAGTACACTGTGTTCACAGTGCGAAGTCCTTTACTGCCTTACTAACTAACTTTAGCTAATATTCCCCAAGGTGCTATTCTCTCCAATTTTTCTGTTTTCCTTTTTTCTTACATGACTTGTCTCAATTCATTCAGTGGTTCTTATCAAATGGCGAAGGGATAAGTCTTTGTTTTTCTGATATTTATGTGATTTACAGCAGAAAGAACCACGGACGAATGGGTGTACCTAGCATATCAGTTGAGTTGTTCCACTGAGTCAGAGTTATGCATATAAGTCCACTTGGACATATCAAATGTTGACACGAGATCACATCATTTGACGACACGCACACATAATAAATTAGTGACATAGATCATAACACCTTACCAATTAAACTATCACAATACTACTTCATAAAGTATTTTAGGTTCGAAAAATTGCGATATATACTGAACAACTACAAAAATTGAAGAACGCGAACCACCACCACCACTAGATGGTTTTAGAATATTTTTCCCCAGTGGAACATACACGGCACCTTCAAGCTATTAGCAGATCGAAGTGGCTCTGTAGCCGCGGGGGTTGCTAGCCTCATGCCCAGCCCAACCACCTTTCCTCTTCATCACCAGCATTATTTATTTCTGGCATAGCGAGGCAAAAGGAGTGCCTCGTCGGAGACCGGGGATCGAACCCCGGGACCATGTGTGCATGGTAACCATGAGCATCCCCTAACCGTGTTATGCCAACCGAAAAAACCTAAATCAGTTGGAGTACAGGCAGTGCGCGGTAGGTAGCATCTGATTTCAAAATCATATATATATATATATATATATATATAGTTGGAAGCAATAAATTGTGCTCAACACGTCATCATCATCCAGTTACCAAATACTGTATCAACTGTTTTTATACCAAGTAAACTTCTGATATGAAACTGAAACACTTTATGCTTCGAATCCCCGATAAGGATTGGTGCTACTGTGGTGAGAGCAGGCTGCTAGCCAATCGGTAGACATTAATCTACGTACGTCAATGTCTGGGTCACTAATATTGGCCGTGAGAAAATATGAACAAGGCTGATTCAACAACCAATCACACACCAAACTTAACGTGGGCAAATATGATTCGTAGATAGATGGCTCCACTTTCCGATGGTTACCCGAAACAACCAATCAGAAGACTGCGTTTGTCTACTTGAATAAGTTATAATAATGTACAGGAAATGTATATAAATACGTGTTGATTTCCGTAATAAAAGGATCTGTTGCCGGCCCTTGTCTTCTGTTGTTACACTGCTACAATTCTACTGAAAAAAAATAAACCACTTAGGAGAGCTTTCAAGAAATTTAACAATAATACAAGGAGGAAGAAAAATACATTGATATATATATATATATATATATATTAATAAAAATACATATATTAATAAAAACGGCATAAAATCCTTCCTTTACCTCTTGAATACTCCCTGTAAGTCTGGTGCAGCCAAGGTGCAGGTCGCTGTGAGATATGCGTAGCTAAATCTAGAAATGGTATTCGAGAGCATCGATTCTTGCACAGATTACGATTGAATGCACAAGTATCCGAAACAACAGCAAAGTAAGTTGCACAATCTGTTAATTTTGCTATTATTGTATTACTGTTATTATTATTATTTGGAGTAGTAGCAGTAGCCGTAGCAGTAGAACTAGTTATGGTAGCGATCGTTGTAGAAGCAGTAGTAGCGGGTGTACACGGATGGTTATTACTTGCCGTTGTTGTTATGAATGTGGTGTTGTTAGTAATCATGAAGAAAACTTGGCGAAAGAAAAATACAGCCAGATGGTTGACAGAGAGATAGAGAGTAATAGGGGGATAACGAGTGTTGGCTTAAATCTACAATTGTTTCATTGGTATGCGCGCATACTCTAAACACCGATGCAAAAGGTAGAAAATACAAAATAAAAGATATAATGAAATAAAAACATAGAGGTTCCATAGAACAGTAATATGTATTTTATAGCAAAACACAGAAAAGGTGACTAATTTATTTAGAAAAAAGGAGTGATTAATAAACTTGCAATATATATATATATATCCATCCTGAAAAAGAAGACGTCCAGCGAAGAGACTCTTTTTGCCGGCGAATTCATTCACATAACTAGCTGTACAATCGCATTTATATATATATATATATATATATATATATATATATATATATATATATATAATTATTTGTGTGAGGTTTGTCAATTTAGATAATTACTCAGGATGGATTAAGTAACATAAATGGCTAGAAATTGAGCTGGAACCTACCCTGACATATGTTGAAACACTTTAGTCAATTATATTGCGTCATCTAACTTACTAACTAACTCAATCTTACTTTAGTTGATGTCTGATTAACTTTGTTTCTATATTAGATCATTCTTGTATTACCTGATAAATTATCTAAACTTGGCAAACCTCCTGTGCACATACACACACACACACACAAATAATTATATATAAATGCGATTGTACAAGTAAGTGAATGAATTTGCCAAGAGTCTCTTCGCTGAACGTCTTCTCTTTTTCATATGACTAAATGGGGATTTTCAAGATATCCATTCTGCTTTTGCCTACACACCTACCACACTATATTCATAGCCTATAAATATGACTTCTCTATTATCACACTCAGATATTTGCAAGCGCTGATGATCTCCAGACACTTTAAAGTAACTTTTTATGTTACATCGCGAACTATTGTAGAAGAAACCAACGAATATATATATATATATATATTGGACAGATATTTCACCTCAAATTTGGGACTCTTCAGAAGTAGGTAGGCACCATAATGTGTCCTTCGGGGAATAGAACGTGCAAGGATGTGCATAGTTCGCATCACTGAAGGAAGTATTCAGAATTCATGAATTACTTTTACTCCATCCCAGCAATTGAATGATCAATGGACTCGCCCCTTACGGTCGTATGTTCTTGGCAGAGTACTGCAGAGAATTAACTGCCGCATTTTAGTTAGTAACATCAATAAACACTCACACCACTTTCTTTGTATATGCTCGTAACAAAATAAAGTTGTTTAATGTTATTGTTGTTAGACCTCGGTTAGAAGCATAGAGACCGCACTTATTGTGTGTGGTGAAACACAGATAGGCGGTTGTCCGTATTGAAGTAGGTGCAGTGGTGGGATTGGAAACTGGAATTTATATTGTCTGAAAGGCTGAATTAAGTATAGGCTGGATCGATCGGTGAATTAATGACACCTTTCAGACACTAGTTGAAATTTTTCCGTGAAACACTCCGGTTTCTCGTTTGTCTTGATTAAACACACCACACAACACATGATACTTTATAAAGTTTATATTCATCAATTGTGGAAATAACATTTCAAAGTAACAACAAGATTCTTTAAATATATCTCCAGTAACCATATCAAAGATGAAGAATTAGGCTCAATACTACCATCTACTTCAAAGAACCTTCAATGTGAAATTGAAATCCATGAAAACACAACTGGAGACAGACCACTGTGATGCATGTTCAATATTCAGAAATTGAAAAACAAAACTACAAGGGATACACCAATACATACATATCTGATCACATCAAAGTCGGACACACTACGTGGTATCACTGAGGAATCCTGCGTGGAAGAACATTGGAACCAGCTCTCTGAAGGTGATGTAAAAATGTTCTAGGGGGAAAAAACAGACAGGACAAGTAAAGGCTCTCAACAGACACCTACCTGGAAGCTAACAGAAGACAGGAGGATGGTGGTGAAAGAGAAGATGACTCAATGCAATGATGGAGACAACAGTAGGAAAACCTAAGTTCAGTGTACACTGTACAGAATGAAAAAAGGGAAGAAGAATGCGAGGAAAAATCAAAAAGAAAATTCTGTGACGCACTGGTAACTGAAGCAAAACAGGCCACATGCAAAAGATACCTCAGAACAGTATATCGAATAACAAGGTCTCTACGCGGGAAGAGACCAAAGCAGATGATGAAAACTAATTAAAAAACATGACCAAGGGACCCATGTAACCAAGGAGAAGAAACAAATAAAGCACTTTATTAAAGGACTCTTGACTCGATTATCGCCTACAACTCGCCCAGAAATACCCGCAACAGCACGCACAGATTTACCAGTGGATAGCAATCCTCAAACGGAAGCAGAAATCCTGGCCGCGATCAAAACTACTGAAGTCCAGGAAGGCAGCAGGCCCAGATGGAATTCCCTCCCCCCCCCTCTAAAGCATTGCAGATGTACACTCACGCCATTATTGTAAAAGTTTTGGAAAGAAGGAAAGGTACCTACCGAGATAGGAAGAAAGGCTGTTCAAGAAAGGAAGGGCAACCTAGGCGTCTGCAAGAAAACTGGTGTGGATTATAATGCTCTTGCGCCCACGCCAACTAAAATACTCAGTCACATCATCATCCTGGAAGGAGAATAAAGGATGCACTGGATACAGAACTCCACCCAACTGGAACACAAGCAGGATTCAAGATAAGAAAATCAATCATGTGCTGATCAAATTGCAGCTCTACACATCGTGTCATCGAACAAAGTACAGGATGGCAGTCAAACTTCTACCACTACTTCATCGATTTCGAAATGGGGCTACGACAGCATTGACCGAGACATAATTTGGAAAATACTTCAACACCATGAGGTACCTAAAGTCTCTCTGTCAACCTCATTCAACAGCTCGCTATATAAGAATGACAATGCCACGTGTCAGGTGATCCACAATGGAAAACTCAGCGAGGCATTCGAAGTGAATACAGGAGAAGATAACAAGGCAGCCTGCCTATTATCACTGATGATATTCTTAATTGTGGTGGACTGGATTATGTGTCAGACTGTGCATGGGAGCGAGTAGACAGGAATACGCTGGACCACCGATTAGAAGACTCTAGAAGATCTGGATCTCTCAGGTGGTGTTTGTCTAGTGTCACACAAGCTCGAAGACTTACAGGCGAAAACTAACAAACTGACTGAAGAGGCGGACAGCGAAGACACGATTACAGGTCAACATAGAGAAGACGGAGGTGACGAAGATAACCGACGAACAGCAATAACAACCAGCATCAGTCACCACCAACGAGAGAGACTTAAGAGAGGTCACCTCCTTCACTTATCCAGCTGGGAAGCATCGTACCAACTACAGGTGAGCAGGCGGGCGGGCGGTCGGGACGGATGAAGATGTCAAAGTCACAATTGGAGAGGCAAGAGATACGCCTTCATCAACCTGAAAAACCAGTTTGGAAATCTTTCACATTCACAGCATAAGGAACAAGATTCGCATTTTATACACGCCAATGTCAAGTCGGTCAGTGATTCTATACGAGTCAGAAACTTGCAGCACTGTGTTGTGTTTCACGAAAAGGATTTCCAACAGTCTGATGCAAACTTTCATCAACAGCTGCCTTCCCTGGCTCCATACTCAAAAATCAAATGGCCGGCCAGAAAGAATAAGCAACAAGAAACTCTGGGGAACAAACCGACGACAGGCAAGAGCCGATTGCTCAACGAATGAATTTGTGTAGGAGAAAATGGAGATGGATAGAGCATAACATTGAAAGGGGCCGTTGAATGACATTGCACGCCAGGCCATTGCTCGAGTGGATTCCAAATGGGAAGCGAAGAGTGGGTCGTCGTCCTAGGGTGACATATGGAGGAGAGATCATGTGGCGAGGAGGAGATGAGAAATTATGAACAATCATCGACTCAGTTGAATAGGATGGCACAAAATAGAAGAAAGATGGAGATATGTTGTTGAAACCACCCCATGTTCTACTCGGAACCCAATGAATTAATAATAAAAATGAAATAATAATTATTATCATAACACACGCATACACCTACAGAGACGTGCGGACGCATGCACACACACACACACGTATATCTGCTCACAAAAAAAGGTAAAAGTTGGAGTCTCTGTGGATTAAGGAAATTTTTATTTAACTAATTGATTCTCACACACAGCTCAATAGAATCAAAACTTAAAAATTAGTGTTCTGCTTTTTTCAAAGAACGAATTTTGCGTACTTCACGATAGAGAACATTTTGTTGAACAAGTGGATCAAATGCCACCTTTTCTTTACGGCTACTAGCTAATCGTGGTCGAAAACCAATGATACAATGACCAGAACCAGTAGTACTTTCTAGTAAAACCATAACCGTTTTAATAAATCCTTGTGTTGTTGACATATATCCAATCCGTATGTTATAAAATATGTGAACAAAACTGAAAACAAAAACAAAAAATAGTGTTATAATAATATCAACAAAACGACGCAATGAGATATAATTGACAAGATTTAAAAGTTCATTACACACAGGCCGTCATATACTCTGGTTAATTATTATCAGAAGGCTTTCCAATATAACCAGGACGCTGAATAGTCCCACCCAAAACGGGTACGTAACACATACACCTATCTAGTAGTGCTCCCTCGGTTAGTGGAGTGAGACGGTGTGGGTTTTTTTTCGAAGAACACCCGCTAGAAGCCACACGGGAGGATAAGGCAGACGCACTAACTACTGAACCTCAACCTAGTTTACTAACCACCGCTAGTAAGACGAAAGTAGTAGAATATAGGGATGGTTGGGAGCTCGGCTAGCAAACTCAATCTGTAAAAACAACACTAATGACGACTGTGATTTCAAAAAAATAGTTTGAAGCACTATATTGTATAAGAATTTTACTCAGACATCAGTTGGAATAACAGAAATTAAGGACAGACAGGGGTGTTAAGAACGAACCACCGTGTAAATATTTCACTAGACAATATACCACACTAAAAGTTCGAGTAGATATACATATCACAGCCTATTCTCTGTTATTCAATAATACATTGTGCTTAAAAAGTTTCAATGACGTAGCACTTACGGTTTTGGATTTGCCTGGAAGCCCCAAGTCTCCTTAAGTCAGGGAAAGCAGCCATGTCTTTAAAGTATGAATCATCAGTTCACCAGTAAATTTGATTGAACCTTGTGGTACATACATCCCTTTAGACAATATCATTTATTATTTTTCCTTCACGTTCCCCAGTGGAACATAGGACACCTTCAAGCTATTGGCTTGAAGTTCCTGTAGCAGTGGTGTTTATTATTTTACAGGATGGGATTGCTAGCCAGCCTCATGCCCAACCCAACCTTTCCTCTTCACCAGCACTATTATTTATAGGTTAGCGAAGTAAAGGAGTGCCTCGTCGGTGGCCGGGGATCGAGATCCGTGGACCGTGTGGCATGGTCACCATGAGCGTCTTAACCAACCGTTTCATGCCACCGACCTAGACAACACCATAAATTGCAGTATTTCAACAAGTGAACAAAAAATAAGTAGAGAATATGTGTAAAACTTGGGCACTGTGGTATTAAGTAATTCCATATTAGTTTGATTATTAAATGTATCACACAGTGAAACAGTATTGTATACTGGATGACGTTTCGAACACAATTTATTGTTCATAATCATATCAATTTTTTTTTTGATATGATTATGAACAATAAATTGTGTTCGAAACGTCATCCAGTATACAATACTGTTTCACTGTGTGATACATTTAATAATCAAACTAATATGGAATAAGTAGAGAACTACTAATTTGGGTGCAATGAAACAGGAGGTAAGAATGCCTGAGAAACCCCTTCATCTCGGCTATAAAAATATTTAAGTTCTAAACAAGTGGAGTGATATGTGTGACATATCAGACTACGTACGCACTTAACTAACTTATCGATTAACATCCAGTTGCAAATAAGTTAATTCAGACCATTTTTTAATATTCCTTTACGCTAGGTATGAGACACTGGACTTCACAAGCCTAACTGCGAAGTCGCAGTAGCATCTACGGGTTGACGATGCTGGCTTCGTGTACCCAACCTTCCCTCTATAAAACGGACTCACTACCCCTACCAGCCAAACAAGTTTGAACGAAGCATCGGATCAGGATTGAACCATAAGTGGGTGGGTGTTGTATTTTTTACCGTTGAACCACACCACAGTCGAGCTAACCAGGTATGATTAGCCCCCTTCATTTATGAGTCATTTTCCTGAAGCAATGGGGGTAAATTACATACAATAAAACAAATCAATCTGATATACCTTACCTCTAGCTAGTGCATACTACACGAAATATAGTGACCTAACAGAGTTGACAAAAATACACCTAATTTAATGGTATTAGATGGTTGAAGGCAATCGGCCACAGGAAGCCTTGGACCTAGGTTTCGTGCTAGTCGGCACTCGTCAGCAAGGCATATCTGCAACCTTGAAGTAACTCATGTCCCTCCTGAGATTCGAACCCGCGTCAGTTCTGCAGTCAGAGACGTCACCACTGAGCTATTCGGAGGCGCGATTGACCTCCTGTAGGCTGTAGTGGATATTTTGATTTGACACTAGTAAGTAGTGTGATGCGTCTAGTCCTATGATTGGTGTAGACTGAATTCTATCAGTCAGGTTGTAATGTGACCACCATTCTAGCTAGCTTGCCATCACGGTGCACATTCATTTGATGGTTGGAGGCAATCGGTAGGAAGCCTTGGACCTAGGTTTCGTGCTAGTGGAATAGCTCAGTGGTAACGTCTCTGACTGCAGCACTGGGTGACGCGGGTTCGAATCTCAGAAGGGACATGAGTTACTTCAAGGTTGCAGATATGCCTTGCTGACGAGTGCCGACTAGCACGAAACCTAGGTCCAAGGCTTCCTGTGGCCGATTGCCTTCAACCATCTAATACCATCAAATCAATGTGCACCGTGATGGCAAGCTAGCTAGAATGGTGGTCCCATTACAACCTGACTGATAGAAATCAGTCTACACCAGTCAGAGGACTAGACGCATCACACTAGTTACTAGTGTCAAATCAAAAATACACTTAAAAAACCAATTACTTGAAGCTACAAGATTCACCTATATATGCAGGAAACTGAAATAACAATCAATAACAACAACACATAGATGTCGAAAACGACGCGAGCTAACTAACATCAAGTAGAAAAAATTATTTGGTCTTTTTAATTTTGAAATTTTGGAGGCACAGCCACTGATGCTGACTGGAAAGTGGTGCTATAATATTACAACAAATAGAAAGAAGTTAGACTTCACGCGAGTCATTGAATACAGACTAACTAACTAACTGCAGCTTTATCTGGCTCAACCTGAAGGAAGGCCTCTAAGATTCGATATATATGGTTGGCGTACACTACTACAGTAGTGGAACACACCAAAACTAGGAAATAAATAACTGTCAAGTGCACTTCTGATCTGATCCATGGTATTATAAACAAATGACACTCAAACTATCTAGCTGTTGTGCTGTTTTTGGTGACCAAAACCTTCACACATAAGAATTGATTAAAAATCATAAGAGAAAAACCTCAAAAATCTGTAGGACAATAAAATGCTTTATCAATATTATTATTGTGGAATGTCGGAATAATGCACATGAACATCACCATATAGGTACACACAGACACACACTAGTGTACACAAACAAACATGAATTATAGAGCAGAATTCAAACATTTTTTTCCAGTATAAATGTATTTAACGTTAATGCATACATGCATGTATATATATATATATATATATATATATATATATATATAGATATATACCCAAAAAAACGTTTGCACATGGTCAGCGAGGTGAACACCATTATACATTTTGCATAGTCAACAGTAGAGGCTGCAATGATGATGGGAGAAAGTACACCCTATCCTACCTGCCTACTCATCTATCTAACAAAAAAATTAGGTGGCTAGCTCGGTTGCTGCCAGCTCTCATATTATAAGATATAATCATTCTTTGCAATATAAATTTGATGAACAATACATCTACATATCTTTCTGGTGAGAGCAGGCTAGCTGCTAGCCAATCGGTAGACATTAATCTACGTCAATGTCTAGGTCACTAATATTGGCCGTGAGTAAATATGAACAAGGCTGGTTCAACAACCAATCACACACCAAACTTAACGTGGGCAAATATGGTTACCCAAAACAACCAATCAGAAGACTGCGTTTGTCTACTTGAATAAGTTATAATAATGTACAGGATATATATAAATACGTGTTTATTTCCGTGATAAAAGGATCTGTTGCCGACCCCTGTCTTCTGTTGTTCCATCTTTACTTCGTACAACACGACAAGAACAGCAAAAAGTAAACTTATAAGATGAATAAGAGAACAAAGCAAAAAGGGGGAACTCAATGATTAACTCGAGGAAAAACGTCTGAATGGACCAAAAAAGGGATCAAACGGCTGCTTTTCTGGCTGAGAATACTGAGAAAAACGATAATATTTATAGTAGTAATAACAGTAATAATAGTAATAATAATAGTAACATGTGTACAGTGATGTGTGTTTTCTTAACGCTCTTGAATAAACAAGGTATCTTTTGTGCTTAATCCAGCAACAGCTAACGAAATTGATTGTGGCATGACTGAAAGACACAGATAAGGGTGAATGCGAACAACTTCATATCGACTTGTTGGATAGCCACGATATTCGAAATATGAATGAAGATCCTTCAGTTCGTAGTACACAGACACGTTCACAATAGACAACAACCAGAGCAGTGGAGTTGAAAAGTGAAAAAAAAAATAGAGGAAACAGATATTATTAATCAGCAAAAAAAGGAAAAAAATTAAATAAATATTCACTAATCAATGGTGAATATATCGGACAAAAAATAGCGATGAAGACAGCATGCATCATCAGCGGTTTGTTGTTCCCCCCACCCCAGAACTACTTGCGATGAACGGTTGCAAATGTCCCACAACTAATTGATTGCGTCAATTTATAGAGGACAACCTATCAGAGAACAGGAAGCTGCACATTATGAATCATCAGTGTTTCCCACTCAAGTGACGTAGAAAATACAAATTCAGCCTACACCTAAGGTTACGTGTCATGACTCCCAGCTAGATTGTACTAAAATAAATAGCTTTCTATCGGGAGTCAGCAAATGGTCTGAGTCTAACGGTCTTAAACTGAATCCTTCTAAGTGTCAAACTGTTGATTTCAGCTTAAGATGTAAACGACAGTTAAAAGAAGTCATCGATTTTCATGACAGTTGTAAAATTGACGACAATGATATAGGAATCAAATCAGAAATTAAGTATCTCGGACTCATTCTCTCTTCTGATCTCTCCTGATCTGCCCATGTCTTAGCAATCTCCAGTAAAATATTCCACCTGACATTTTACATTAAGAAGTTAAGACACTCGGGTATAACTCAACCCCTCATCTTACAGTTTGTCAACTCTTGCATCCTACCTATTCTTCTCTATTGTTCACCCTGCTTATTCTTTCCTGGTTTGCTTAAAAAGGAAAATGTCACAATTCGTAGAATGCTGAAGATGATCAGTAGGGTGAGTGGTGTCCCAGTGGACCACACAGTTAACATCGTTGTCGATAGGCACTTGACTTCATGCAATAAATTTGCTAAAGGGATTTTGTTTGATTTGAAGCATCCGCTTTACCCTCAGCTTTCACCTTGCATCTCCTCAGGTAGAACAAGGGGTAACTTCAGAAAACTGTATGCTCGCACGTCTAAGTATAAGAATTCTATGATACCATACTTGTCACGTATTTTATGTGATGAAAATAGCGTCAGACAAGAACTAACTAACCTTTTTTTCATCTAGTAAATAAACAATTTCCTCCATCCATCCATCCTTATATACCTTGAAGTTTTACTTTTATTATTTCTATTATATTTATGGTCCTGTTTCTTCTTTGTTTTACTCTCATAATTGCAAACACCAACTTATCTCCATGACGGCTGTAATCTTTGTTTTTCCCCTCACCATATCATGTAAAGAGAACACCATAGTCAATATTTTTAAACATGTTAGGTATTCTGTGCCACATTGCCAATACTGTGTGAATCAATCCCACAGTAATTTCCACTTGTATTATTATTATTATTATTACCCTAGCTGTTATCATTATTATTATTATTTCCATTTTATGTGCTGCATGTTTTTGACACTACCTCTATTGTAAATGTGGAAATTTGAGGAAATTGGATGCAATATTGTGATTAATACTGAAAATTCCATTATGTATCACAAGTACTGTTTTTGAAATAAAGTAAATCATTTATTATAATTTCAAATTTTATAAGTCATCTAGCCAGAATATGTGAAATGAATACATAATCCGGTGGAATTTGTTATCTTCTCCTGGTATTCTCCTGGAGCAACAAATCTTTGCCTTCTCAGTCTGTGTGTGGCCCGTTTGTGTCCTTCTCCGCGTTTGGGGAATAGAAAAAGTCAAGTGATCAGTTATAATCTTGCGATGAAATATCTTATTAGAACAAACACAAATCCCAGTATTACCACCTTGTCTTCAAGTTCGAGAGCTAATTAAGTCGCTAAAAATTTAGATTCCTAAATCACTGGCCGCCAGTAATCTTGATGGGCCTTGAAAACACTTATTATATGTATGGTTCCAAATGTGTACTTTGTCTATCTTTCTGTTTCATTCAGGCAAGTCTTATATTGACTTTATTCATATGTCTAATTATCAATTTTTACTCATATGTATAAACGAAAGTTATGTGAGTAGTACCTTGATATGATTATGAGTGGTGATAAATTGTGCTCAAAACAGGGTAACCATATCAAAATAAAAATTTTAGCCATAATAGAATTATGCTCAAACTACAATGTCCAAATTTTATCCTTATATCCCAATGTCTCTCTCCTAGACTAAGGTGCACATTGTAAAGACTGATAATTCAATATCCGTAGGATGGGAAAACAGTTACACTTATTCTCAATACACTTTAGAAATCATTCTATTAATGGCACAGTGGTTAGGACTCTCGCCGACCATGCATATGGTCCGAGGTTCGATGCCCTGCCGACGCATACCTGATATCTACGGTCGGCCTGCAAAATTTGGGCTACCGATATCCATGCTGAAAATTCCATACTTGTACCAAAAATAAAGTGTGAAATCAAGCTGTAAATCAAAATTTAAAAAATAAAATATAACAACAGAAGGCGAGACACGGAAGCCAGAGAGTATATTTTTTATTAATCAGTATATATTTGTTAACCAATCACTAAGCATATATGATTTCGGTTTATATTAAACAACATGAAATAGAATGTTCAAATATAATACATAGTATTCTGTTGCTAATGCAGTATGAACTGTGGAAAAGTATTCTGACTTTAACATCAAACAGAATGTTCGAATAGATATGTCGTATTTTCAGGATTTCACCAGCTGTCTCGTCCTAATTTGGGGTTCTCCAGCAGTACGCACCCACCAACAAGGTTCGAACCCAGGACCTTTCGGCCACAAGGCGAGCTCGTATACCATTAGGCCACTGGGACCCGATCCAATGGTCTTTGAATTCTAACCCCTGAAGAGTCGCAAACTAGGACGAGGCAGCTGTCCAGTACTCCCAGGTTTTTCAATGGTTCTCTAACTAATGCCAGCTCATGATGAAATCCTGAAAGCAATCAAATCCCTACAAACCAACACTTAAATATCGCATTTTGTTGTTAGTGCTGTGAATTGAACTGTGGGAAACATGCGAGAATATAACATTTTGTTGGCGCACATTGCCATCTGTATCACACATCCCCACAATACTATTCTTCTCATTATAGCCAAATGTGTAACACTCAATGAGAGGAGTGTCTAGTCTACATTGAATAGTGTGTTGTATTTCACGCATTTCCACCACAATCTTCCCTTTTTTTATACATCTTGACATAAACATCCATCCACCCACAGGGCCTATTGCCATGTGTCCTAAAGAAAACATTTGACACTAGTTCACAATGCTGCTTCCAAGAGAGAGACAGTCAAGGATAGAACACATAGCGTGTGTGTTTTAACTTAAAATAGCCAGAACAGATGTATCATGTACCAGGGCTAAAAGCCACAGATATTTATTGTGTGTGTAAGAGCAGACTGTACCACCCATTTATTTATTCGGTAAGTTGAGTGACATGCAGAACCTATGACCCTATTTGACTGAAAGTGTGCTTAGTGTTTTAGCCAATAGATAAGCCACATTTTGCACACCATATTTACTAACAGAAAATATATTAGTATTGATATAAGTATAAAACTTTGGCACTTTGGTGGAGTATAACTCCATTATAGATAACATTTTATTTTGATAAATCACACAGTCTTGTTCTGTCGATAGAGGATAAAGTGTTGACAGAGAAGTGTTGTCCATTGATTGACAGATATCTTCCCAGTTTTTAATACTCATTTAATACTAGCCGAACTTTTTTTAGTTAAATTGAGTATGAGGTGCAAAGCTCGTCAAGGTGATGATCACCAGATGTCGAACATACCTTGTATATCCATTACACTATATATACGAAATATGCTGCACATCAGGAAATTATCATCCTTATTATTTTTGTTGTTATTATTATTTCTACTGATAAATAAAGATACTCCAAGCAATAATGTTTAGCATTTTACCTGCAACTTGAGAGTAGACGGGAGTCGATAAATCTCTCGAGCCCCATCAGGTAAACGAATAAGCAATTCAAAGACTTGTTCGCCAGCTTCAGCTGCAGGTGACGGTAATTCACGCAAAACATTATCAGATGTTAGGCTACAATTAAATATAGATTCATGAAGTGATTTCTCTGGTCTCAACGGTCTTCTTGCTGTTATAGTGGCTGTAGTTGAAGAAACAAATGAAGAGCTATTTGTCCCGCTGTTAGAATTAACAAGGATACAATCTTCCGCCAAATCACTATCATGAACTCCGCTTCGATCAGTATCAGGTTGTGAAGCTTCGCTTGAACTAATCTGGCAGTTGTCAACGTCAACTTCTTCTTCTTCTTCTTCGTTATCTGTGATAACTATCTCACTATCACCATCTATGGTGAACTGAATGTAAATTTGGAAAAATTAAAAACAATATCCTCTGAATCCATTTAAGTGAAGTTATTATTGTAGTGTAAATAGCATAGAAATGAAATCACAAAATAGCAAAAGTGAAGAGTGTAGAGACTACCACAGTCAAGCGGCTGTGGATCAATCAATCAGCCCACAAATCGCATAGCATTACACACAAATGGATGGCTTTTCATAATCTTCATTGCAAGTTTGACCCGAACCCCACAATCCGGCACGATATATATGCACATTATCCGAAAATGTCCAACTAAAGATAAACTACCCCAAAAATTCGTAGCACCATAAAAATGGAGTTGTGTAGCCATTAAATAAAGGTTGAGTTTTGCTTTACACGCCTGTGAAACCATTTAGCCTCTCAGAGTTAAGAATGTGTAACAAATTCTTGAAGGTGAGGAATGTGAAGGAAAAATAATAAAAAATAATAATAAACTGCAAACAACACACTGTTTGGTTAAGGAAGGACACCACTTACTGAGAACAAGCGCAGCTTTATGATGATGTAACTAGGTTATGGAGCTACACTTACTTACTTTTACTTTACTTCGGCTATCTCCTACGGGAGGATGAACCGGCTTCATGAACATCTCGAATGTTTGTAAGAGAGTTGATGAAGTTTCATGGGAATTGAGTACGAGTGATGTCCCCAGCATCGCTCGGCCTTTTGTTTGAGAGTGCAGCTCTAGCCTTTACACAGCCAAGTGTGACCTACAAGGCAGTAGGAGTGGAGTAGGGAGTCCACTATCCATTGGCAGCCGGTGACCGGAGTCCGGTTCATACGCCTTTTTGAATGGGGCCAGACATCCAGGGCATCCAATAAGCTTTGTCCATACGTCTGCCGGTGAACTCCGGTGAGCTTCATACGCCAGTCGTTGGAGGTTTGGAATCAGGGTTTAGCCATCTCCCCTAGACTGTCATCCAATGGACAGTCAACCCGGTGAAGAGCGCCGGGCATCCGCTTTTGCCCTCTCACTTCGGTGAGAAACACCTCCGCCACGTGAAGGCAGTGAGTAGGACTTCCTCAGGAGAGGCTATGTAAGACGCACGGTCATATGGGAACATTTCAAGAGGTGTACGGAGGGGTGGATAGCCCGCAGCGCAAGACACCCACCCCCGACCATCCTGAGGCTTTGGAGGCACACATTTGTAGTAGTATCAAATGAGGGAGGATGATGTGATATTAGATAGCAAACTAAAAGTAGTCGGAAGTAGACAAAAAACCAAGATTTGAACACGAAGGACGGTATTTTGTTTGAAGGTTGAGTGTTTAAAAGCCCATGAGCCCTACACGCACATCTCTCAATTCATGCGCATGTGTATCTAGTAATAATAAATATTAGTACTAAGGAAAGGGGAATAATTAGATAATTGTTAATGGTGTGAGAGAACAGGACACATTTCAAAGCAAGGATATATGTGTGGGGACATACATCGCAATTGCCAGTTTACGCCGCCTCTGGCTTAGTAGACGAGATATTCGAATATCGACCAAAGGGCGGGTGTACTGCTCATCAGTCCGCTCTGTCCTTTTTTATGACGGGCTGTGAGACCTGGCCACTGAGAGTGGAAGACATGAAAAGATTAGCTGGATGTCTTTGATCATAGGTGTCTGCGTTCTATTTCCCGTGTGAAATGGAGTAATAAGGTGAGCAATATTGAGGTTAGGCGTCGGTCGAGTGCTGGGTAAGGAGGAGGGGGATATCAGTTGACGAAGTTGTGAACTTACATCGACTGAGATGGTTAGGACATGTGTTACTCATGTATGCTTAGTCATCGCCTTCCTCGACGAACAATGTTAGCTGACGTAGGGTCAGGCTGGAAAAGAGCTAGCGGAGGTCAAACCAAAACATGGCTTCACCAGTCAGTGAAATTTTCAATAGTTAGTCTAAGCCACTTAGGAAGGCGTAGACTACCTGGCTGATTGGTTGGGATCCTCGGGACGGTAAAAACAAATGGTTGGAAACAATTGGGGACATGGCTCAAAATTGATCTTGGTAATGGCTGGCGCAGATGCATCCACTCCTTGTGATTTATGATTTCCAATGAAACTGTTTTGTTCTTCGTTATTACTCTTCCTTTGTCTCACACCTCTGCTTGCTGTCCCTCTATTATGCTTTTCTTGTACTTTCTTCTCTTGCTATGTGTGCTACAAGTAGGGAGTGTGGCGACTTGGACTGCCGCACATTTGTGCAAAGTTCTATGTCGAAAGCAGACAGATAGACAAACATACATACATCACACTCTAACTGATAATACAATAAGAATGAAAGCAATAATACAATTAAATACCGATTTCTGAGAGCTATTCAATTGCTTATTATTTGCTTCCTTTTTTGATGCTTCTATAGCCAATTGAAGTTGTTCATCTTCAGTTAAATCTAATGTATTAGAGATAGATGTGATTTGTGAAGATGAATGACCACCGCCTTCTGATGATGATGAGCCCTAGTATGCAAAAAAGAAGCAAAAATATTGCAGTAAGGTGTAGTGTTATGTTGTAAACAAGGACAATAAGTAGGACAAAATTCTAAAGAACATTTTTCAGGAAATCAAATTACCCAGCAGAATCATGCCAACCACCATTCTATCAACCAATTCATCAATCCACCCAATTTTTTAGAGAAAATCAAAAAATCATTCAGGGATAGAAGACAATAAGAAATAATGGTGGCCCTTGATGATGTCACAGCATTCATTATACCCACTTCAATTAGTCCTAAATTAGCTAGCAACAAACTATGCAACAATTACCCTATATTGAAAATGAAAACACATAAAAATGCAGTGATGTTCAACTTGGATGATGGAACTCATAAAATTATGCCTTACAACAACATTTACTTCCAATTCAATATTAAAACTTCTATGAGTAAATAAAGGGAAGATACCAATGGGATCATCGCCCATATCAAGATTAATAGCTGAAGCCGTTCGTTAGGCAAAGATTAGAATTAATAACCCTTCCTACCTATAATTATAACCCGAAAATCTGGACAGGTACGTTACGTTGATGATACATTTGTAATAATTGAGAGAAATGATTTAGAATATATATACATATATATACCCATAAATTAATAAACAACATATTTGAAGACATTAAATTCACCACGAGAGCAGAAGAATTAGACGACAACAAAATCCCATTTTTAGATGTCTTCATCAGGAGGAGAACCAACACAGGAAATTTAGGAACACAAGTATATAGAAAATCAACGCCTACACACAGATCAAATACTCAACTATACTAGCAATAATCCAATTACTCACAAAGAAAACTGTGTGCAGACATTGTTAAAAAGAGAGTTCAAACGCACACTGTAGCACTCCAGAGTTGAAAAAATGAAAGAAAAATACTTACAAACGGTCTTCAAGAAGAATGGTTATCCAAAAAAAATTTCATCAAAAAGTGTTTAAAGTCGAATCAAAGCATCAACAAAGAACCATCACCGAAGACCAAAAAGAGAAATTCATCCTACCATATATCAGAAATACCTCTGAAATAACAGCTAGAATAATTAAACCGTTTGATATAGATGTAGCACACACAAACCAGCCGAATAGCTTAATTCGATCTTATGCAAACCAAAAGATCCGATAGAAAAAGGAGATAAAATTAACACTATTTACAAAATAAATTTCATCTATGAACTGTAACAAACACTACATCGGTCAAAGTGGGCGTCTCCTTCGAATAAGAATCCAAGAACACAAATCAGCCGTGAAAAGACATGATATAAATTCTTTAGTATCAATGCATACGGACAATTATGGACATCAATTTGATTGGGATAATGTCAAAATCTTAGGACAGAGTAAACACCAAATGTGCAGTCAGGGAATTCCTAGAATTCCTGGTACTCAAACGAAAATGCCATTAATAAACACGTTAATATAGATGAAATATATCAACTAATAAAAAGTAAATCAGGTGACCAGAAAGTTTAAAATCCCAATCAATAGAAAACGGTCAATACATATGTAGAGATGGTTGATCACCAGGAGACGCAGTCGTATCATCATTCATGGAGATTTTACAGCCATTTGACTTTATGCTAAATACTGCGCTGAAGATGTTGTCCAGAAAAGAGGACGACGAAAGCTTCGCAACTAAACCAACCAGCTAGGAGAACACTATTAATTGCAAATTCTGGAACTGTATTTATTAATTGAGGTGACTAGGATACATACGTACGTTGTGTCTGCCAAGCTATCACCCACCTATCTATCTTAGTATCGACATGAATGATTGGTGATATGAGTGGGATAAAGAGTTGGTAAATATAGTAAGCGTTTGTCAAATTTTGAAAACATGGAATGAACTCATGAAGAATTTTTGAATACTGGGGTTACAACTGGTCGATCACGTAGTGATTGTGTGTTATCCTACCTGGATGATAGTTAACGCTCACGACACATTAAAAATCGATGATGACTAGACAGTGGTTAGTTGAAACGGCGCGAAATAATTTTCAAAAGTATAAAAGTATAAGTTGAGGGAGCATTGTCTGAACTACAGTAAGCCGGAACGGACGAGGATGTCAAATCGAGCGAGAATCGGGGAGGGGGGCGAGAAACACATTCATCAACCTGAAATCAATCTGGAAATCTTCGTCACTCAGCCAGCGTCAACAACAAAATTCAGTCGGATTTTCAATACAAACGTAAAGTCAGTCGGTTCTTCTATACGGAACGGATCAGAAACTTGGCGGGTGGGTCACAAAGAATATTTCCAACAGCCTGTTGAAGACCTTTATTAACAACAACTGTCTTCGCTGGATCGATACTGAAGATCAGATGGCCGGGCCGGGCTGGAAAGAATCACCAACAAGGAACTATGGGAAGGAACAAACAAAGCAAGAACCAATCGCCAATGAACAGATATGCGGGAGGAAGTGGAGATGAATCGGACACTCGCTCGCTGAGGAGACCGCTGGGTGACATCGCGCGCGCGTCAGGCCATTGCTCGAGTGGAACCAGGCCGAAAAGGAAGCAGCGAGTGGGTCGTCAGTACAAGTCTGTCTGTTCTCGACATAGAACTTGTCAGTACAAGGGTGACATGGAGGAGATCGTGTGAAGAGGAGTTGTGAAAGAGTATGCACTAACTAACATGGGTGGATGCAGGTGAAAAGTACAGCAGAAGGAAGACAGAAGTGGCAAGTGGAGACGTGCAGTTGAAGCCCTATGTTCCACTAGGAACCCAAGGGAGCAATAATAATAATAAGTATTGGCATACACGGATTTGTGATTGACTACACATTAGAGATATAGTTAACTGACTGACACATCAGTGTTACAGAGAGCCGATGAAAATCGACACGAACAAAACAAATTGTTTCCTCCTACCTAGTTTGGGACTAACTCCCTCCAGCAGCAACAATGAGTGTCGCCAATCGAAACTAACATCTTCATCTCATGTTTTATAGGTTTTTGTGAACCCCTGTTGACAATCCACCCTCCCCCATCAATGGGGTCGGCAACCCTCCAATGGACTCGTAAAAATTGTAACACATCTGTGTTCATTTGCAACACACATATATCGACTGTGTGTCACACTGTCATTGTCATTGGTGAGGTGAGTGAGTGAGTGTCTATTCTCACACACACATACCCGACCCTATATATTCATCATATATATATTTACTTTTTTTCACGGGGGACTCTGAACAACACAACTCCAGTCCCTCCCTAGAGTGCCAGACACTATAGAGTGTGAGTACATTAGAAAAAAAATTCTCCCCAGTTAGTTTGGCAAATGAAGAAATAAGAGGCGACTTACTACTGTCGAATAACGATTGTAGTTTGTTGACATCCTGTGGTGTAGACGTGGTCTTTTCGCATCCAAATAATGAATAGTTGTGTCGTCTGTTGTTGTTGCTGGTCTTGGTAAACTTTGTGGAAATGATGGATTATCATCAATAATAGATGTAGAAGAAGTGTTGATATTTTCATGACCATTATTGACATTATTATTAGGATTAATCAGCACAGAATGTTTCATAAACTCGGATACTAGACAGTAGGGTAGTAGTAGAAGGAGAAGGAGGAGGAGGAGGAAATAAATATTGTGTAAGCAAGAAATTATATTATGAATGATCAAAACGAGGTGTTATATATCTGCGCTAAAATCCGGCACTATGGCTAACCTGTTCATCACTGAACCAACCAACATATCCTCTGAGCTACTACTAGAGTTCATCAAGCGCTTAACCACCAGCTCTAATAGCCAGGCATTACTGATGACATGATTGCAGTGAAATGAAAAAGATCCAGTTAGTAAGTTAGTTAGTTCGTGGTTAGTTCTCGTGACTCTCAGTTGCAATGATCCTTCACAGACTAGTAGTAGTCTGTCTGTAGAAGCCTAGTTCAAATTCTGCCTGTCAGTCTGCTTGTCTGTTTTCTACATAGAACTTTGCAGTTCAAGTCGCCAAACTCCACTCCACGTAGCACACAATGTAAGAGAAGAAAGTACAAGAAAAGCATAATAGAGGGACAGTAAACAGAGGTGTGAAACAAAGGAAATAGTAGTAGCGAAGAACAAAGCACACAGTTTCATTGGAAATCATAAATCACAAGGAGTGGATGCATCTGCGCCACTGAGAACGATTTTGAGCAATGTCACACCAATTGTTTCCAACCATTGGTTTTTACCGTCCCGAGGAACACAACCAGTCAGGAAGCCATTCTACACCTTCCTACGTGGCTGGCTTAGACTAACTGGTAGATTTCATTGACTGGTGAAGCCAAGTTTTTGTTTGCGTTACACATGTCCTAACCATCTCAGTTTTTGTAACTTAACGACTTCGTCGATTGATTTCCCCCTCCTCCTTACCTAGTATTTGACGCCTAACCCCAATATTGCTCACCTTATTATTGAGGTTAGGTGTCGGTGTGGTGGTCGGTGGTGTGCAAAAAGACCCACTGCTGAAGAATTTCAAACGAGGATGTTGAGTATTCTCCAGTTATTTCAATGGTTCTTTAGCTAGCAGGTGTGACGGTTGATGCAAAAGTCAACAATGTAAACTAAGAACAGATTTTTCCAAATTGGAATACGAAATTCTAAATTCACGCATGACACATGATGTCGTACCACACATAAAGAAACTGTGTGACGACTTTTTAAAACTGAAACATACAGAGCTTTGGACTTATAACATACATTATTTGAAAGTTAATAACATATGCGAACCAATAACAGATTAGCTGATGAGTCAACGAAGAGATCATTGGAATTTTGAATGAAAGTACAAGCCCGAATAAAGAAACGTGGATGGGGGAAGAAAGTACAATTACAGTAATTTCTATAAATCAATAGGCGTTAATTGCAATTTTTCACCCTTTTTTTTATCAAACTATCCGCATAATGAACATTTCACCGTAAAGACGGTTGGGCTTATTTTCTTTTTGTTAAACCAATAGACAAATACATTCATTTTTTATTTTATTTTTTTAAATTTTTGATTACAGCTTGATTCCATACTGTATTTTTGATACAAGCATGGAATTTTCAGCATGAATATCGGTAGCCCAAATTTTGCAGGCCGACCATAGATATCAGATGTGCGTCGGAAGGGGATCGAACCTCAGACCATGTGCATGGTCGGCGAAGGTCCTAACTACTGTGCCACCGACATTAACGTTTATAATAATAAAAAGCTTGAATTTTGATGACCAACACCGAATTCATTGATTATCTCAGAATAATATTAGTGTTTGCTTTAAATGAATCTTGGTAGCTGCTGAAACCTGTAGCATATTTCCAGAAATGTATGTCACTTAGTAAACCTGTTTGATACATTATACACAACTGTGTACAAGGATGAGATGAAAAATTTGTCCCAATCTTCGACCACATTCTAAGCGTTAAGTCATACAATACAGAGTATATTATTCTCCTCTCCTGTCATTATTATTTTTTATTATTGCTCCCTTGGGTTCCTAGTGGAACATAGGGCTTCAACTGCACGTCTCCACTTGCCACTTCTGTCTTCCTTCTGCTGTACTTTTCACCTGCATCCACCCATGTTAGTTAGTGCATACTCTTTCACAACTCCTCTTCACACGATCTCCTCCATGTCACCCTTGTACTGACAAGTTCTATGTCGAGAACAGACAGACAGACTTGTACTGACGACCCACTCGCTGCTTCCTTTTCGGCCTGGTTCCACTCGAGCAATGGCCTGACGCGCGCGCGATGTCACCCAGCGGTCTCCTCAGCGAGCGAGTGTCCGATTCATCTCCACTTCCTCCCGCATATCTGTTCATTGGCGATTGGTTCTTGCTTTGTTTGTTCCTTCCCATAGTTCCTTGTTGGTGATTCTTTCCAGCCCGGCCCGGCCATCTGATCTTCAGTATCGATCCAGCGAAGACAGTTGTTGTTAATAAAGGTCTTCAACAGGCTGCTGGAAATATTCTTTGTGACCCACCCGCCAAGTTTCTGATCCGTTCCGTATAGAAGAACCGACTGACTTTACGTTTGTATTGAAAATCCGACTGAATTTTGTTGTTGACGCTGGCTGAGTGACGAAGATTTCCAGATTGATTTCAGGTTGATGAATGTGTTTCTCGCCCCCCTCCCCGATTCTCGCTCGATTTGACATCCTCGTCCGTTCCGGCTTACTGTAGTTCAGACAATGCTTCCTCCCTCTAGATAAGTGAATGAAGTAACCTCTTTCAAACCCCTCCCGTTGATGGTGATTGACGGTGTATGTTGCTGCTGTTGTTGGTGGTGGTGGTTGGTCTTCTCGTTTCCCACTCACTGTCTGAAGCATAATCCAGTCAGTCCACCACAATTAGGAATATCATTCATTGGTGATGATAAGCAACCTTGTCTGACTCCTGTGTTTATTCCAAACGCCTCGCTGAATTTTCCGTTGTGGATCACTTGACATGTGCCGTTGTTGTCGCAGAGGTGTTGAATAAGGTTGATGAATATTTGGGCGCTGCACGCCGTAGTACTCGAGTAGTTTCCAAATTACTTCTCGGTTAACGCTGCACTGTCGAAGGCCTTCTCAAAGTCTTGTTAATGTTTTTCCTTATTCTCAACAAAAATAACTTCATCGTAACACATTCTGAAAAGAATTAATTTCGTCATCTACCGAGCATACACTTATACTTTGAAACGAAGCAGCGATAGTGCTTCGCAAATTTGACTGAAGATATATTCCTACCCAGTGTGTTGATGGAGGAGGAGGAGGAGTGGGTGGGGGGAGGGGGGGTGGAAACTTGAAAATCTAGAAAGCATTTTTAACTGAAAACCGAGACTGTTTAAAAACCAATGAACGATTTCTGTAAGTTTAAATGGTACTCATCAAGTAAATCATCAATATCTCCCCAGAAAAGTATATACAGGAATATATTAGGAAATGTTTTTAGATAGAGTATGGGATTTTATTAGGTAAGCTCCCTCTTGTTTGGATGAATTACATTTATTTACCTTTCCGCATTTATCTTTATATATTCAATGTTGTTCTTGTTATATATTGTTGCTGTGTTATTGTTTGCCACACCCAATGATGAAGTAATAAACGTATTACACCAGACAAAGTGTAAAGCTGCATATTAATTATACCAGTGATTAAAGACTAGTGTGTTCATTAATGATTAAACTACATATATATTTTTCTCCTAAAAAACCAAATCTCTGAAACAGACCATCCATCGTCAATTACGAGGAGAAAGTTAAGCTAAGCGATTGAATAATCAGACTAGCTATCAGCCCATATATATATATATATATATATATATATATATATATATACATATATACATATATATTTATATATACAGACCAGGATTCAGGAAAGGCAAATCATGTACTGACCAAATTGCAACTCTACACATCATTATCACTGAACAAAGCATGAAATGGCCATCAATCAAACCTCTACCTCAACTTCATAGACTTTGAGAAGGCCTTCGACAGTGCAGCGTTAACCGAGAAGTAATTTGGAAACTACTCGAGTACTACGGCGTGCAGCGCCCAAATATTCATCAACCTTATTCAACAGCTCTGCGACAACAACGGCACATGTCAAGTGATCCACAACGGAAAATTCAGCGAGGCGTTTGGAATAAACACAGGAGTCAGACAAGGTTGCTTATCATCACCAATGAATGATATTCCTAATTGTGGTGGACTGACTGGATTATGCATCAGACAGTGGGAAACGAGAAGACAGGAATATCCTTGACCGACGCGAAGAACCTAGAAGACCAGGAAGACGCATCCACTCCTTGTGACTTATGATCTCCAATGAAACTGTTTTCTTCTTCGTTACTACTATTCCTTTGTCTCACACCTCTGTTTACTGTCTCTATTACGCTTTTCTAGTACTTTCTCCTCTTGCTTCGCGTGCTACATGGTGTGGCGACTTGAACTGCCGCACATTTGTGCAAAGATCTATGTCGAAAACAGACAGATAGACAGAAGACCAGGATTTCGCTTGTGGATGATTTGTGTTTGATGATGTCACACAAAATCGAAGACTTAAAAGCGAAAACCGACAAACTGGTCGAAGAAGCAGCCGGAGAAGACAGGACTTCAGGTGAACATACACAAGACGGAGGTTATGAAAATAGTCGACCAACAACAACAACAACAGCAGCAACATACACCGTCAATCACCATCAACGGGACGGGTTTGAAAGAGGTTACTTCATTCACTTATCTAGAGGGAGGAAGCATTGTCTGAACTACAGTAAGTCGGAACGGACGAGGATGTCAAATCGAGCGAGAATCGGGGAGGGGGGCGAGAAACACATTCATCAACCTGAAATCAATCTGGAAATCTTCGTCACTCAGCCAGCGTCAACAACAAAATTCAGTCGTATTTTCAATACAAACGTAAAGTCAGTCGGTTCTTCTATACGGAACGGATCAGAAACTTGGCGGGTGGGTCACAAAGAATATTTCCAACAGCCTGTTGAAGACCTTTATTAACAACAACTGTCTTCGCTGGATCGATACTGAAGATCAGATGGCCGGGCCGGGCTGGAAAGAATCACCAACA